TCCTGGGCACGGGGTGCCAGCAGGGAACCCAGCACCAGGTGGGGCACTCGCCTGCTCTTACTTCATTCAGCAAGTATCGACTTGTGGGAGTGGGGGTCAGTGTGTCCTAGGCACTGGGGACACTGTAGGCACTGGCCACACAGAACTCGCTGCCTGGGGAGCTCACCTTCTAGTGGGGAGCTGTAGACAATAAACAGAGAACAAATCGTTGTCCATCCGGTGATGCCAGGATGTAGGAAGGCTGTGAAGGAAAGGAACTATAAGAAGTGGAGGTGGGGGCAAAGAAACCCTCTCCAAGGTGGCACTGGAACAGAGACTAGAATGGAGACAGAGAGAGCCTCCTAGGCCCAAGAAAGATAGCTCAGGGCAGAGGGAACAGCAGGAGCAAAGGCCCTGAGGTGGGAATGTGCCTGATGTGTGTGTGGCTGGAGCCAGGGGCAAGAGCCACCAGTAAATGTTTGTTAAATAAACATGTGAAAGCCCAAATAAAAGACCAGTCAGTGTTGTGTATATCATCTTTGTTGACAATTTTTTTTTGAGAAAAGAAAGGCCATTCAGTGCCTCTGATTGGGGAGTTGAGAAAGATAGGAGAGGACCATCCCCTTCCTCCAAGCAAGTCACCCCTCCCCAGCCCCACCCCTGCCCCTGGGAAGCCTGGTCCTGCGGCCTAATGGCTAGTAGCCTGGGCAGGTCCTGAGCTGACCCCCTCCCTGTGTCTTCATCAGCAGCTATGAGGGGGCGGGGCAGTCCTTTTCCCAGGATTCTTCTGTCTTAAATGTTAGGAGCCTGACAATTCTCAGGGCTTTGGGGTTGCTTTTATTTTTAAAAGCATTTAGGACACGGGCTGGCTCAGAGGGACACACATGTGAAGTTGTTTTATCCATCCCCAAAGCCTGTGCTGCCTATACCCTCCCCTTCCACCTCCACAGCTCCCTGCCTTGTCCATATGACAGGCATCCAGAGAGAGAAGTGTTCTGCTCTCCCTGGCTTTGATGTCTCCCCACACTTTGAGCTCCAGGCTCTACTTCTGCCCCAGTCCCTCACAGTTGGGAAGTTCTTCTTTAGCTCTAACCTCCATCCGTCTTGCTGGGATGGCAGTCAATTTCTTATCTTTTTCTCTCACCTTCTGAACTTCCCCCTGAAAAATGAGTATTCCTGACAGGAATGTTCCCTGCCTCCCTTTTCTCCTCACCCCACCTCCCCTGGGTCCCCCGAGTTTCCGATCTGCCATCTGCCTGAATCCTTTCAGGCACAGTGCCCAAGATGTCTGAGCTTGGGTTGGGGAAGATGGCAGGCCTCCGCCCTATGCCTCGAGTTCCTAGACCTCCATGCTTCTGCCTTCCTCTGGATCTCAGCAGGCTCTACGTTTTTTCTGTCCTCTACAGCCTCTCAGTCTCTCTCACCGTGCATGTGCGGGTCTCCAGCCTTTGTCTGTTTCTGTCTCGCTATGTCTCTGCCCCTTTCATACCTCTTCTCTCTTTGGGGCCTCTTGCATCTATGTCTGCTTTGTCCCTGGCACCTGGTGGGGGTGGAGAACAGATGTGCTGTGTTGAGGCCTCTCCCAAGGGCGCTGGGGGGGAAAAGGCAGGGTGGTGACCTGGCCATGTTCTGGACCTTGGGTTCCATACAGGCTGTGTGACCCTCGGATGTGCCTACAGCCCTCTGGGTCTGCTTCTCCATCTGTAAAATGGACACAAGAACAGTTGCCTCCTCTTAGGGCCACAGGGAGGAGCCAGCGGCCCGAGGTGTGCACCGTGCTTACTAGCATTGCACTAGACAAGTAGCAAGTGCTCAGTTAATGCTTGCCATCACTATTCGGGGTTCATGGCCAGTGGGGCAGGGAGGGAGTCGCAGAGGGCAGGTCACATAGCTTCTGCAGCAGGGTATGGAGTAGAAGTGGGGTTGTCACATCCTGTGCAGCAAGGATGAGGGCAGGGGCTTGCAGGCACACAGCTATTGAACACCACACTCCCCAGGGGACCTCCACGGGAATTGCTGCGGCTGTCATGACAAGCTTGGGGGTTCCTGGGTCCCCTTGACCCTGGTGTGGCTAACCAGGAGGCGCCACTGCCTAGCTGTGCGTTTGGCCTCTGTGCTTCAGCTTCCCTGTCTGTGCAGTAGGAGTAATAGCAGCCTCCTCTAAGAGGGCAAATGGAGAAACTACAGAACAGTGCCTGGTCGGTGCCAGCGATGTGGCAGACGTTACCGTTATTGGTGGTGGCGCTATTCAAGGAGTTGGTACAAATCGGAAGCATACACAATGCCTGGGTTTGGGAACATGCTCAGAAGAGGAAGGGTGAGCCAACGCTCCGTCATGGGTGTTGGAAGGGTGTATCTGGGGACAGCAAAGTCCAGACTTACAGCCCTATCCAGGAGTGTAGCTCGTAATCAGTATCTGCGGGGCAGCTCCCTCCAAGGCATGGCATTTATGGGGTGCACTGGGGACCTGTTGTCTGGAACCTAGGGGACAGTATCTGGGACCAAACCAGCCAGGTGATGCCATGGCCTGTGCATGTTGTTGAGCTGGAGGCAGTTGTGTTTGCAGCATGTGCATGTGCTGCCTCCACTGGGAAGGCCTCCTGGGTTGGGAAGGAACGGCGTAAGTCTTGAGGCGTGAGCCTGAGATGTGCAGCTGCGGGAGTGTGTCCTGCGTTGGGTGTGCAGAGTGGGGGCCGTGGCCAGGAGGGTGTGCCTCAGTGTGAGTATGTGAGGGAATGTGGTGTAACTAGGGAGAAATATGGACTAACAGCAGTGATAACTTACCCATTCATCCCTGATATTTATTGAGCACCTGCCCCGTGCCAGGAACCATTGCAGGTGCTGGAACCAAACCTTGCACAAAACAGATGCATCCCCTGCCCTTGGGGAGCTCACATTCCAGGTCAGATGGTGAAAAACATTATACAGAAAAATAAAGCAAAGAAGGTTCTGGAGAGGGGTGGGGGGATAAGGGCTATGTGATGCGAGGTGGTCAGGGTGGCCTCACTGAAAAGGCCACATCTGAGTAAAGACCTGAGAGGAGACAGGGACAACTGGGGAGGAGAGGACCAGGCAGAGGGAAGAACAAGTGCAAAGGCCCTGAGGCAGGCATGTGCACAGCCTGTTGTGGCCTGAGGTGGTAGAGTGAGCAGGGGGGACGTGGTAGAAGCTGAAATCACAGGATCAGCCAGGCTTGGGGCGAGGGGTCTTGTAAACCAGCGAAGTCTCTGTTTTGATACCCTAGTGAGACAGACGGAGCAGGAGAGGCTGCTGAGCAGAGGAGGGCAGGGTCCGATTTGGATGTTGACAGGACCCTCTGGCTGGCGTGGGAACAGACTGGGAGGGTGGCAAGGGTAGAAGTGGGGAGACCACTGAGGAGGTGCCTCTGATCATTGGGGGGAGATGGTGGCTGGGCCGGAGTGATGGCCTGGGGGCAGGAGTTGAAGTGGCTGTCTGCCTGTCTTGTAAAGTAGAGCCGTTTATGGAGCATTTAGCTAGTCAGTCCCCCAACGGCCCTATGAGACAGATACTATTATTATCTCTGTTTCACAGCCTTTTCCTGCAGCTCAGAAAAATGAAGTCCGTGGCCCAAGGCCGCATAGCGAGTAAATAACAGACCCAGGATTCAAACTCAGGTCCTGGAGCTGGAGCATTGTGCTGTCCTCTTTTTTTTTTAATTTATTGGGGTGACATTGGTTAGAATGCGCTCTGGCTGCTTATCTTTTGTGGCCTGTTGGTGTCCTGGGTTTTGAAGGTGAAGGTAGCATTTGTCAGCACCGATACCAGGGTCTGCACACAGTAGGGCCTCAGAAAATATTCGTTGCATGGATGAATGGAAGGACGGTCGGATGAACCAAATGAACAAATGCAACCTCCCTGCCCATTTTGCAAAAGTGTATCAGGAGGCAGGTATCAGGACCAGGCTGGGGTCCAGGACAGAGAGCTGCATGTGGGCGTGGTTTTCTGTGGCATGAATGGGAGCTGGCCCTTAGCAGAAGGGCTGGGGTATTGGTGATATGGGCCCCAGTTCACATCAGGGGTGGGGGCTGGAATAAATGGCTGTGCGGTGTGGTGGGGTGCTTTGGAAGCTCCTGGGATCCTGGAGGGAGCCAACCGCGCTAGGCTATCTGCTCTAGGGCTGGGGGACAGGTGCAGGAGGAGTGGTTGTGGCCAGTGGCGGGAGGGGGGCCAGCGGTAGTCCTGCCTGGTTATGCAGCTGATGAGGCTGTCTGTGCCACCAGGCCAGGCTTGGCATGGCCCAGACCCTCCTCCCTGGGCATCCCAGCCGTCAACATCCTCCCCCTGCTTCCTCGACCTTCCCTGCTGCCCAGAACCAATGGGTTAATTAGATAACGGAGCCTTTGATTAGCGGAGGAGGGGGAGGCCTCTGAGGCTGCACAAGGAAGGGGGGCCGAGGAGGAGGGAGGAGAGGGCGCCCTCCCCGTTCAGAATGAGAGAAAGGCGGAGGGAGGGGTGAGAGGGAGGGAGCTAAGGCACAGCTTGGCTCTGCACTGCCGTGTGACTAGAAATTGTAATCGCGGAGAAAGAGAGAGACAGACAGAGCCTGGCCGAGAGAGACCAAGACAAACGGACAGACAGACAGGGAATCTGACTGAGACCGGCTCCCAGATACTGAGAGGGTGATGGAGACCAAGCGAGAGTGAGGGGGAGATGGAGGAGAAGGAGAGAGGGGGCTTGGTGGTCCCAAGGGAAGCCAGACAGTGAGGGGGGAGCCTGAAGAGGGGGTTGAGGCCCGAGGACAGGGACCATAACCAGAGGCTGAAGGGCTGGGAGACAAGAGAAGGGGGCCGGGGTCTGCGGGTGGAGAGGAGAGAGGCTGGCGGTGGGGGGAGAGTAGAGGTAGAGGTGGGGGTGGGGGTAGGAGATAGGAGGAGGCGAGCAGGGAGGGGAGAAGACTGCTGCAGTGGCCTCTGACAGCTGGCCCCCCAGGGGTGGGAAGGGCGACAGAAGAGGGGGGGGCGCGGGGAGACCCAAGAAGCCCCTGCGCCCCCCCCCTCCAGCACAACCTCGACGGGAAGTCCCAGAGAACTGGGGAGGCATAGCCCCTGGCCGACTGGAGGCATGTGGAGGAGGGGGCCTGGGGCGCAGGGAGAGGCCCAGCGGAAGCCGAGCCACCGGGGTGAGTGTCCCCCTCTGTGGTGGGGGGACAAGGACAGAGATGGCGGAGGGCACAGGAGGGAAGGGGGGGGAGGCCCAGCCGCTGCAGGAGCTGTGATTAGGCGGCGGGGGATGTGGACTGGAGGCAGGAGAGGTGGGGACAGATGTAGAGGTAGAGAGACTGGGTGGCAGGCCTGGACCTGGGGTGGGCACTGCCGGCTCCCACGGCCCAAGGGGCATCCTGGTCTATGGGTCCCCCGGCCTTAAATCCTGGCCCTGGTGGGCTGTACCAGAGTGGGGCTGGATCATCGTGAGTCTTATGATGAGGAGCTGGAGTGGTTCGCTAAGGACAAAGAAGGAGCCTTGCCTCCCTGTCACACTCTGGGAAGCAAAGACCCCTACCGCCCTTACATCAGATAGAGGCACACACAGCCCCCAGCCCTCCAGGGAGAAAAATGAGTCCAGGATATAGGCACAGAATCAACCCCTTTTTTCCCCATCCCTGTCTCTGTCTCCCTGTGTTTCTCTCTGTCTCTGTCTCTCTCTGCCCCCTCTGTTTCTGTTCCTGTGTCTCTGTCTAGCTCTCGCTCTCAAACACGCACTCAGGCACACAGACATATGCACGCGCATTTTTGTCGGAGTAGAAATGATCTGGGAAACTGCAGAATGAGAGCAAATGTGTGCGTGCACGCGCATGTGCGTGGGGCCTGGGTCGGTGGGTCTGAGTCCGCTGCGTGAGGGCGTGCCCTGTCACTGCTGGTGGTGTGAGTGTGCAGACTGCTCATGGGGCGCTCTTGGGTCGGCCTGGCCGAGCAGAGCCTGCCGGCCAGCGTGGGTACAACTGTGTGTGCCCTACACTGCGTGGAAGGGGGGCTGAGAGCCGGAGGGCGGCCCCGAGGCCACAGTACCCTTCTGTCCCCACCAACCAGCTCCGTGCCCTGGAACAAGCCGCTTTTCCTCCTTGCGCCTTGGTGTCCTCATCTGTAAATTGGGCCCCTAACCGCTTCTGCTTCCTCCTACTGCTGTGAGGCGTCAGTGAGACAGCTGTGGATAGAGTCGGGTGCACAGTAAAGGCTTACTCAGAATTCCAGGGAGGTTGTTATTATTATTATTATTATTTGTTTTTGTTTTTGTTATTGTCACTATCAGCTTACCTTCCTTCCCCTCTCTTGTCCTATGGACATAGGGGTGGGAAGACCTGACCCCATACTACCCACCTCCTCCCAGAACTCAGGCACAAGGTCCCCAGCCCCCCGGCACCGTCCTGCGGCAGCTGCTGGCACAGGCCCTCCAGACACTGTCTTGGCCTTGAGCACCTGCCGCTCCAGGGCAGCCTGGACCCCCTCATCCCCTAACACTGCCTTAACACTGCCTGCTGCCTTCTCCTCCTTCCCTCCTCACCAGCCACACCTGTCACCTCCACAGTTGCCTTGTCTGGCCCCTCACCTTCTCTCAGGTTCCCCTGTGAGACTAACTGAACTCCCTGCAGCTGCTGCGAGGCCCACAGGGCCTGGGCCGGCCCAGAGGAGGCTGAGGGCCAAGAGTGATGGAGGGTGTGCAGGCGCTGGGGAACTCAGCCTCCTTGCAAACACTCCAGGAGGGAGAATTGAGGGGAGGGGACAGGAGGCTGGACACCCCTCCTGGAGGCTTGCGCAGGCAGCTAGGGGACCGGGGTGGGTGCTGTGATGGGAGCCAGACCCCCACCCAGACTTCCTGCTTGGCTTTTCCCCCTTTCTCTGTCATGTCTGTCTCTCTCTCCATCTCTACCTATTTATCTACCCTTTTGAAATCATGCAAAGAACTAAGTTTTGAATCTGACTGACTTCTCCACTTACTGGCCAAGGGACCTTGAGCAAGCACTTCCTCTCGCCCAGCCTCAGTTTTCTGTTCTGTGAAATGGGCATACAGTCTTCCCAGCAGGGAGAGGATGAGATGAGATGAGTAGGGGGTGGGGGACAGCCCTTCCCTGGGCCTCCCTCTGCATGCTGGGTTGCTGCATCTGGGTCTATCTGTCCCTCCATAGGGGGCTAGAGGAGAGAGCTCCTGGGGCCCTGAGCACGGGGCAGGGAGGTGATGATGGTGGCAGCAGCGGCACAGAGCTAGGTGTTGGGGAGCAGCTGGGCCACAGAGGTAGGGCCCTGTCTCTCACTAAGCCTCTCCTTCTTTCCTCTCCTACAGCCCCCGGCACCCACACGGAGCATGACCATTGAGGATGGCGCACGCCCGCGGCTCCCAGTGCCCCCCACTGCCGCCCGGTAGGATGTCCTGGCCCCACGGGGCACTGCTCTTCCTCTGGCTCTTCTCCCCACCCTTGGGGGCCGGTGGGGGCGGTGTGGCCTTGACGTCAGCTGCAGCAGGGGGCTCCCCGCCAGCCACCTCGTGCCCCGCGGCCTGCTCCTGTAGCAACCAAGCCAGCCGGGTGATCTGCACAAGGAGAGAGCTAGCCGAGGTCCCAGCCAGCATCCCTGTCAACACGCGGTACCTGAACCTACAGGAGAACGGCATCCAGGTGAGCCTGCGGCGGTCGGTAAGGGGAGGGGTACAGGTGGTGGCTGGTCCCTCCACCCTGAGCAGGCGAGGGTCTTCTGGGTGTTGACTCTTCAAGCCACTGCTTGGACACTCACGAGATGCTGTCTGCATCCTATTAACTTGAGCCAAGACTATCTGGGTTTTCTCAGGCACGAGGCTCCCTGTCTCTGTGCCAGTGTGTTGGAGCCCAGGGCAGGACCACCTGCCTACCTCCCACAGTGGGGGCACAGGCAAGCCGTGGGCCTGATCCAGCCCGGGAGTCGCAGGCTGTGCTGAGAGCCACCCTTCCACAGGGCCTGTGTGCCGTGTGCACCGCCCCCACCCCTGCCTTGGGTGCCCTCAGGCACATGATAGCATGACTGCGCCTCTGTGTCTTCATCTGAAAAATGGGGATGAAAAGAGCCCCTGCCCGAGGGGTTGGGTTTAGAATCGTCCTGGCACCTGGCAAGCTCTCATTCTCTTCCTGCATGGGCTCGCAGCTCCGCTTCCGGGAGAGGGGTGAGAATTGGAGAGCTGTGAGCACCCTGTGCCTGGAGCAGTGCTGGGACAGGGCAGCTGCCACCCAATTAATTATGACTGTGACTCAGATGGGCCCTGAACGAGGCTCTGGGGGCAGAGCTGTGCCTGTGTGAAGCCGGGTCCCTCCTCCTCTGCTCGGTTGCTGCTTGGGGCCTCCTATGCGCTGTAGGGTGCTGAGCGACGTCCCTGGTCACTAGGTGCCAGTGACATCCACCCTCGGCTACCAAAAAAACGTCTCTAAATGTTGCCCCATATTCCGTGGGGTGACTCGCCCCTGGTTGAGATCCACTGTGGGTCAGTCCCCAATCCTCATCGGCACAGACCTCTTCTGCCCCAGCCCATAGAGCCAGGAGGAAGAGGGCTCCTGTGCGAATGTCCCAGGTCCCCTGGAGCTGACATTCCCCTCTGCCACCACACTTCCTGATCTGTCCCTCAGGAGGGGGGAGGGGTCTGCGGCCCCCATCTGACTGTCCTGGAGAGCCTGGGGACCCGGGCTCCCCTCTGCTGAGGAGAGAAGAGACCTGTTAGGCGGACAGTGCTAAGGGGACTGCCACAGGCAAGAAGGCTGTCCTTTCCTGCGTGGCCATGGGGCAAGGAACAGTGAAGTCAGAGTTGGGGTTTGGAAACATAAGAGGCCTGCTCACATCACCCCGCCCCTGCTCCTGCAGGATCCCAGGATCCCAGAGGACTGTGTCCTCTAGCTCCAGGCCACCTCACCAGTCACCTCCTTCAGCAAGACCTCTCCTCCCAGTGCGCTTTGAGTCCACCTCACGTCCTTCAAGCTGCAGTCCCAGCTGCCCTGTCATGTGCCCCTTAAGGGGGTGACACTCTGCACTTCATTCTCACCGCACACCTGCCCCCATACTCTATCCATCCGTCCTTCATTTATTCGCCGGACGGTCAGCAAATGCTGCCAGCCCCAGTTCTGTGCCAAGCCCTGCCCTAGGAGATGACCAAGACTGGCCAAGCCCTTCCCTGCCCCTGGCTGGCTTACATTCTAGGAGGAAAGCAGCGGTAAACGAATAAATGAGCCAGCCATCAGGCTGGGACAGCTGCACTAGAGTAGAGAGCAGGTGGTGGAGGTTAGAGCACCAGGGAGTACGTCTCTGAGAAGGAGCTGCAGAGTTCCCTCCAGCAGTGGCCCAAGGCCATGGCAGAGTCCCTTTTTCTCTTTGGGGGGCTTGATGAACAATTCAGTCCTACAAACATTTGCCGAGTGCCCACCGAGTGTGGGGCCCTGCTCTCAGTGCCGCCCACAGACCTGTGGAGGGCACTGGTAACTAACAGCAACCAAGCGGCACCCCAGAGCCCCGCCAGCTCCTACCTCCTTCAATGCCCAGCCCATCCTCCCAGTGGCCACCAAGCAGCACCCCGAAACACAAGCGTCCAGGTGCTTTCCTCTGCCTAAAACCGTCTGAAAGCTCCTGGACTCAAGCAATGAAGTCTAGGCTCTTTATTGCAATAACCGAGTCCTCATAGCTTAGCCTGGCCACCAGCCTTTCCCGCTGACGCCGGTCGCTCTCCCAGTGCTGGGGAGTCGCTCAGGCCGTCCCTCTGCCTGACTATGCCTGTCCTTGGCCCTGGGGTCACCCAGGCCAGCCTCCCCTCACCGCCTTCCTGTCTGGATCCACAGCCCACCCCAGACACCCAGCCCTTGCCCTAAACGCTTCTGTTTGTTAAACGTCTCTCATTTTCTTCCGTGTGGGAGGCAGTGGTCTGGGCACTCAGGACACATCAGCCAGCCTCACTGAGTTCGCGTTCTAGACACAGGCTTAGTAAGCCAGTGGTGTGTTTGTGAAAAGAAGTGGGAAAAGTAAATAGAGGGGGCGGGAAGGTGAGTGCAAGAGCGGGGGTCCTGGCTGCAGCTTTGCAGACACAGAGATTGGGGTGGCCTCATGGAGAAGGTGACATTTGAGCACACGTTTGGGGAAGGTAAGGGAGGGAGCCTGTGGACGCTTCCGGAAGGGCATTCCAGGCAGGGGGCTGCAAGGTGAGAGGAACAGCCAGGCCTCGGGAGGGCTGAGAGGTGACAATGGGGGCAGATCCTGTTGGGCCTCATGGTCACGGTGAGGCATGGGCTCTTCTCTGAGTGAGACAGGAGCCGCGGGTGGCTCTGGGCAGAGGACAGGCAGGCTCTGACTTGGGTCTCTGTCCGCGGTGCTGGGCACAGACAGCAGGGGCAAGAGTGACAGTGGGGAGGCTGGTGGCCTGGCTCAGACACCCTGGTTGTGGTGGAGGTGGTGACAAGTAGACAGATTCTGGGTGTGTTTTGAAGGTGGAGATGACAGGATTTTCCTGCAGAGTGGATGTAGGAAAAGGGGAAGAGAAGGGATGACTCCAAGGTCTTTCTTAGGTCTGAGCTGGTCCCTTCGGTTGGACCTGTTTGATCACGTCCCCATCTCCAGGCCACTGGCCTCCAAACCTTTTTGATCCGCATCCCTGACTGAATATACATGTGAGCCCAGTGGACATACATGAATTTATTTGTAAGTCAAGCACAGCTTACTGCATCCATGCGCTGTGCCTGTTATAAAGCACACACACTAATGGACACTGGTAAAAGACAGAGAATGTGACTTGAAAGCCTAACACTCAGTCCTCATCCTGGGGGTCCCTGCACCTCCACTCTGGAGACCACCAACCCCCCACCCTGCACATTTCACGAGGGTGGAGAGTGTCCTGTCCACACGAGTGGGTGCTTGTGAGCGTTCAGTCGAATTGGCCTCCTTGGTGGACACTTTGCAGGTGGCAGGAATGGGGCCACCTCGGGAGCTATTAGAGGAGCTTTAAAGATAATAACTTTTTAATTATCTAAATTTAAAAAAAACGAAAAAAAAATCACCCTTAGTCCCACCACCTAGATATAAATAACTACGGCTTACATCTTGTTTTAAAGCCTTCCTTGCTCTTTTCTGTGCCTCTGTAAATGTATTTTTAAATTATTGATTACAGGACGAATACAAATTAATGTAGAAACATTAGAAAACATACCTAGGTAAAAATGCAGGGACAAAAGCCAATGGTAATTTGACAGCTACAGGTAACGCCCGTGAACCTTGGTGTCTTCCAGTTCCGCGCTCTCCACGCACCTTCTCAGTATGCACAAAGTAGGCCCGGGTTAGTAACCCAATTTCTTGCTTTTTCTTTTTTTTCCAAAGAAAAAATGAAATCATACCATTTCCTACTGTTTGCAACTGGCTTTTGTCACCTAGGAGCTTAACCATGAACATCTTTGTCCCTGACTCTGACCCTCCTCTGTAATGTCGCCTCTGGCACATGGGCATCCTGTTACTTAGCCAGTCCCTTCCTATTTTCAACGTCTCCACTGATATAAACAACAGTGCAGTGAATGTCCTTAGTGCTGGTTCTTCCCCACCTTCTGGATTCGGCCCTTGGGATCCATTCCTACAGGTGGAATTGCAGGGCCAAAGAGAAGATCAGAGAAGTACTGCCCCAACAGTCCTGTGTGTCCTGCTCATGTGACTGTTGCCCTCCCTCACGGTGGTGGTGAGCCCCCCAAACACACACAATGCACATGCACACACGAGGCCTGGCACCAAAGCTCTGTAGAGATGATCTGAGTTCTGGAGATTTGAGACCCTCCCCTGTCCATGGTCAGTTGCTTGTTATCTGGCTCCTGCATGGACTGTTGTGAGGGCAGGGACTTCACCCACTCCCTGCTGTCTCTCCAGCACCTAGAGCAGATAGAGCCTGGCACACAGTAGGTGCTCAGCAGACATTTGTGGGTGAATGGAAGGGAGGCAAGCCTGCGAGCTCCCACCAGGGGACTTGACAGAGGCAGGGGACTGACAATCTGTTAGCGGAACAGGCGTCGAATCCCTGTGGCACTTTGAGAATGGGGGTGCCCCGGGGTTCCCTTCACCTGTTCCCACTGTCCTGGCCTGTGGAGCCACACGAGGAGTGCAGGGGACTCCAAGTGCACCGACCGAGTGGCCACGCTGAATGGCCACACTGGCCTCTCGCTGGGACAATGGCGTCAACTTTTGGGGAGGGTCGGAATGCCCTTCTGTGACATGACAGGGACAGCAGGTGGTGGAGGTGGTCGTTTTAATGCCCGTCATAGCCAAAATAATGTTTTCAAAAATCATCAGTTGTCCATGTGCCCCTAACTGTGTTTGAGACGGAAGGGAACATGTAAGCCCAAAGCCTGCGGAGATGCCTTCTAAGGCTGAGGCCTGGGGAAGCACCTGCCCTCTGCCTTGAAGCCCTGATGTCACTCAGGCCGAGCCACATGCCACTGTCTTTGCAGCCCCCTGGAGAAGCAGGGGTGGAGCCGGGGCACTGGCTGGGAAGGCATCCTTGGCCAAGCAGGCCCAGTGCCACCCCTGCTCCTCTGTCTCCTGGCGGGTCCAGGTAAAAGCTGCACCACTAGGGCTCAGCCAGCCCGCTCCTCCTCAGCGAGACCCCCATCCCATCGCCTTCCTCCTTCACTGCTTGTGT